GAGAAAAAACATGCTTAGGATTTTACTCAGATGCAGAATGCTTCCAGCTGCCACTCATTCCATCAAATGCCTGATTTTACAACATGACCATAATGCATACATGCTTTATTTTCCTAGTTCTGCCCTTTTTCTCTTAATGTCATTAGGTATAATTTTTCCTTGTCTGCAACCTGCTCAGCTTTTTACCTAGTTTTCCTTTTCTTTGCTCATTCTTACACTACTTTTGCCATGGAAAACATCAGATCATCCTTTGCACTTACAATCTGATCCATTTCCCTCTTAATTTAATGGGAACTGCAACGGGCACTTCCACGGGTCTTGTCGAGGTCCCACTTCTCTGCAGACAGTGGGATGACAAAGACGAGAAAACAGAGCAAGTAAAACAAGAACAGTGTCCTATAGGTCTGAGTCTGAAAACGTGTGAAACAATCTCACACATCATTCTTCATAATCAACACCACTCGTGCCTCTTCCCATACAGCGCATCATACTTTTAACTTCTTCCAAAGAGCAGGACCCCTCAGCAGCCCCATCTGAGGGAGCGGAAGGTGGTGGCACAAAGGCTGATGCAGATGGATGCTGAAGGCCCATTATTCACAATCACCTTAAAGCTTTTCGGGTAGACTTTTCAGCACTTGCCCTCTGGAGTGATGACTTTGCCTCGCCATACTCAAGACTGTGTTAGCACTTCAAACAGAGAACAGATATTTCTCTTTAAGGCACTTAAACTGCAACTGTGAACAAAATATTAAAACAACCACCCCCTCTAGTCAGGCTGGATTAAACAGAGGTGATCATCCCACAGCTTTGAGGCAGAGTGCACATTGCAAGATCAACCTCTGCTCCTTGCCAGGGATGGAAAAAATATGTAGGGAATGGGAGAAAAATAGCATTATTAACCAGACAGAAAATTAGGGAGCAGAGAGATTATGCCTGGGACTGTGAAGGGTATTTAGGCTTCCATCTCTCTTTGAAATCTGTAAAAGGCACCAGAAGTCTCCCTGCCAAGGCTTTTAGACCTCCCCATATCTTAAGATCACATGGTGAGTGGATGGCAAAGCTAGGAACTCAGCCCAGGTCCCTCAAGTTACTGGCCACCGTCTTAGACAAAATGCCGCATTTCTCTTTTTCATCCACATTTGAGAGTAGAATTTGGCACAACCAACAACAGGGACGGGCCCTACCTCAGTCAGCTGCCTTGTCAAAATTCAAATGTTTTTCCTTTCTACAGTTATTTTTCTCTGGTCAGAGCTCTGTTCCCAGTCCTAGAAAGTCCTCTTTTATTTTTTATTGAAGTCATATAAAATAAAGTATTAGACTAGGTATGCTGGCAAGATGCTAAAAACAGTACTGCTTCTTAGGATTTACCTGAAATCCAGATGTTGGTGAATTGGTATAATGGCATAATCTTGGATTAGAACAAACAAGGTGCTGTTGATAAGCATTTGCAAAAGACCTTTGGATTCCTACAACCACCCCCACTTTTCACCTCACAGTTTCCATACAGAGGTTGATTATTTCAGCTGTCTTTCCATTTATCAAAAAATGCAGCATTTTCACAGAAGCCCAGCCCCACGTGGTATTTTGTACACAAAACCCTGGAAACAAGCTGGTGTTAAAGAGGGCTCTGTGCAGCGGGGCTGACGTTCTCTAAAACCCGCTGTTCATCTGGGCTTTGCCTGAATTCAGAGATCAAGGCAGAGCAGCTGCAAGACCCCCGAATGATAGCGGTGGTTTCCATGTCAAACCCATGAAAACAGAGAGTACGCCAAAGCGACAGCACGTCCCCGGGACACCCCCCCTGTGCCACACGGGCCTCGCCGGCGCCTCCAGCAGCGTGCCAGGGCTGCGCAGACCCACGCAGGCGCCCAGCCTCGCCGCCAAGGTCCCGCGGGGCCATCGCCACCCGTGGGCCCCCCCAGACCCACCCCTGGGACCCCCAGAAACCTGCACCGGTGCCCAGCCTCGCCGCCAAGGTCCCGCGGGGCCATCGCCACCCGTGGGCCCCCCCAGACCCACCCCTGGGACCCCCAGAAACCTGCACCGGTGCCCAGCCTCGCCGCCAAGGTCCCGCGGGGCCATCGCCACCCGTGGGCCCCCCAGACCCACCCCTGGGACCCCCCGAGCGCACTTCCCAGCGCAGCCCCGGCCCCGCCAGCCCCCCCGCCCGGTGTCCCCCCGGGGACCGGGCTTCGCTTTCGCGGCTCCGGCGCCGAACCACGCAACGGCACGGCTGCACGTGGCGCGCTGCTCGCACGTGGTCGTGCAAATTGGGACTTTGGTACATTTTCAGCATCATCTTTCTCGCTGATAATGCTGAACTTCATTTCCTGCCTCTGCTTCACCTGGGCAGATTCCTGTAATTCTATTGATTTAGGCCCCAACCCAGCATAACGTTTAAAAATGTCATTACATTAAACATCTGATTAATTTAACTTCAGTAAAATTAAATTAATTTCAAACTTTTGCAGCCTTAAAGCTGTACACACACACAAAGGTTGGACGGGTTGCAATCTAACAGATGCACAACTTCTCGGGGTGAGAACACATTTCCAGACATCAGTATTCTAAAATTTCAACATTACATTGCTGAGTCTCAGGGTTCTCCGATAATCGAAATTCACAAAATCACTGAACAATCGCAGCCCTATCAATACATTAAATCCCAGAAAACATTTGGTAAGATCAAAAACATTTTAGCTGTTCATTTTCACATCTTACCAAGACTGAAGTATCGTCAGAATTATCTGAATGCTGTAACAGCTTGAAACTCTTTATAATTCCTTCCTGGTTTTCTGTACATGAAAACTATTTGCAACTATTGCAAAATTGTTCATAGAAGGATCTTCTGCCAGCAACCGCAATTTTTTTCTCATAGACAACGATATCTTGTGGCTAAATGGATTTGCAGTTGTCACTATGATTTCATATTTTTAAGTTCTACCACGAGACCCAAAGGACGAGCTCGCAGCACTGCGGCGCGGTTGGATGCAGCAAGGGAGGCAAAGAGCAGGCTGAGGCGCAGGGGGCTGGAGGCTCGGAGCTTGCCCACGGCCGCGGGCACCCCGGGGGCAGAGCTGGAAGGAGACCCCCCCCGTCCCCCCGCGCCCTCTGCGGAGGCACGGCACCCAGGCTGGCCGCCGCGGCAAGGGGCTCTGCCGCCCACCCAAAGCTGCTGCAAGAGAGTTCTGGGGAGCTCGAGCATCTGGCCCTTGGCTGACAGTGAGCAGAAGTGCAAAGTCCTTTTTGGTCTCCCATGACTGCAAATTAATTCCCACGTTCTAGCCAAAAACCAGGAGTTCCTGCATTTCTTTGCTTTTAAAGCAAAACACAAAAACAAAATAACCTTTAAAAAAGGGAAGAAGGAAACTGACAATCTCCAGTAGCCAGGCACAGCACCATTTGCTTACTTAGCTCTAAAACAAGAAATACACATGTCATGAACGCAATGCAAACACAGAAGTGGCAAAATTCATCCCTTGATGCTGGTGCCAACTGAAAACCGAACCTTTCCAGCATCACTGCGCTATTCTTTGCAAGTTGGTGAACAAGTGAGATAAGTCTATTGCTCCCATCTTTGCCGTCTATAGCTCCTGTCTTTGGGTGCATTTCTAATCCAGGTCTGCTTCACACCTACAGAATTTTGAAATTAGCTGGCATGTCTGCAGAGATTTGAAACAAACAACCAGGTTCCTCTTCTCCTAAACTGTTCAGAGAGGGGAAAGCTAAGTATATCATAGAATAGAATCACAGGCAGGTTTGGGTGGGAAGGGACCTCGAAGCTCCCCCAGTGCCCCCCCCTGCCCCGGGCAGGGCCCCCTTCCCCCAGCCCAGGGGGCTCCCAGCCCCGTCCAACCTGGCCTTGAACCCTTCCAGGGAGGGGGCACCCACAGCTGCTCTGGGCACCCCGGGCCAGCGCCTCACCCCCCGCACAGGGAACAATTTCTGCCTTAGATCTCACCTAAACCTCCCCTCTGTCAGTTTAAAACTGTTACCCCTCGTCCTACCCCCACCCCCTGACCCAGAGTCCCCCCCCCTCCTTTCCTGCCCCCCCTTTAAGCCCTGGGAGGCCGCTCTCAGGGTCCCCCCGGAGCCTTCTCTTCTCCAGGCTGAACCCCCCCAACTCTCTCAGCCCGGCCCCCCAGGGGAGCTGCTCCAGCCCCCCCAGCATCTCCGTGGCCTCCTCTGGCCCCGCTCGAGCAGCTCCGGGTCCTTCTGCTGTTGGGGGCCCCCGAGCTGGCCCCAGCACTGCAGGGGGGTCTCCCCAGAGCGGAGCAGAGGGGGACAATCCCCTCCCTGGCCCTGCTGCCCCCCCTGCTCTGGCTGCAGCCCAGGGCACGGGTGGGTTCTGGGCTGCGAGCGCACGGGGCTGCCTCACGGGCAGTTTTCCCCCCACCAACCCCCCCAGCCCCTCTCCTCAGGGCTGCTCTCCAGCCACCCCTCGAGGGCCCAGCCTGGGTTTGTGCTGGGGGTTGCCCCGACCCACGGGCAGGACCTTGCCCTTGGCCGTGTTGAACCCCACGAGGTTTGCATGTGCAATTTAAGTAGTGTTAGCATAACACTGGCAGGTTCGGATCCCATTCGTAGGGCATGCTGTACGGAGAGAGATCCACACGTGCAGCATCACTGAAACCCGCAGGGCCGGTCAGAGTGGGAAGTACTGTGCAGCACAGAGAAGGGAAACAGGATCAGTCCCCACGTGGCATCCAAATTCCCTCTTTCAGATCCCAGAAAAGCCCCGAGTGCTGCTTTCTCACAGCCAGACAGGTGTTGGGTCTGACGTTAATGACCCGCACCCCTCAGCACAGGGAGTAAATGAGGGTCCCCATAACTGCAACTGATTTTGGCTCCAAGAGACTAATCTCCATGTTTCATTTAAATATGCAAAGACTGTGGTGTGCTTCAAAACCACATGCAGTTACAAGTGTGCAGCCTACTCCCATTTAAACACAGATGCGTTAAGAATAATTATAATTTTATCAATCTCCATGTGAACCAGTAGCAGAGAGGCGTCTGTATGTGCAGTGAAGCCAGCAGAGCGGAGCAGGCAGTCCTAAGGACAGGGAGCAAACTGCCTTTCAGCTCTCACATGTATAAATAATTTACTTCTATCCACCTGTGCCCAGAATAACAATTTGCTGCCTGAAATCTCAGAGCTGGTGCTGGGAGGCTGCCAGGGACTCGCTTTCCCGGGACCCCCTGGACCTGTTGGGAAGGGGTCTGGGTCTCCAGAGGGATCTGCCCCTAGTGGGAAGAGGCTCCGCGAAGCAAACACAGGAGCATCCGTTCGGCTGATCGCATTAGGTCCTCACGCTGCCGCCGCCGCCACTTCGATATCTGCCTATGCAGCCATCCGTGCGTTTGGACAACCTATAGACAGGGAGAGTGCATGGGTAGGTCTGGAAACGTCTGTAGCTGCGGAAGGCTGCAGAGCTCCTCTGTGAAGCAGCCGTAGAGGAGAGGCTCTGTCTCCCCGAGCAGGGGGAGCGTTACGAAACACGAGTGGACCGGCTGGGGCTGAGGACCTCGGCCAGCAGCACCGAGGCTGCTGCCAGCCTGCCCGGCGGTGCGGGAGGCCATGGAGCGTTTGCCTCCCGCCAGCCCCTGCCCGGCGCAGGACCCCGGCCCCCCGGCCCCGTGAGCCGCAGGGACCCCGGCGAGCAGGGAGCGAGGGCTGGGCGGCCGGGTGAGCCGCCGGCAGAAGGAGCCGGAGCAGCGGGCACCGCGGCCGGAGGCAGAGCGCGGAGGGTGCGCGGGAGGATTACGGCCGGAGTGGGCAGCAGGAGGAGGATTAGTGGGGAGGGCAGAGGGAGCAGGATTTACCAGCTTTTCAGATAGGCGTTACGGCTTTTTACAGTATTTCACTGGATTGTCCAGGACTTTGCCTGCCTACAACAGGAGTTCCTCAACCATAAAAGAAAGGTGAGCTTTTTTTCCTCTTTTTCTTATACAGTTGTCATTATCTGCTTCTGCAGGCTGTTTGTCAGCTGGCCTTGACACAAGTAATAACCAGACAACTTTTTGCAGAGGCTGAGATATTAACATTCATTGCAGTCTGAAGGGCTGTTTGATTTATTAAATTTATCCATGGCATCTAAGTACATGAGGCTCAGCTGCATTATTTATAAAGATTGCAGTTTTCTCTCGAGATGCCCTTCTCCGAGCATCCACAAAACATTATACTTGAAAAGTAGGCATGGATAATGTGAGTGTGTGTTTGTCTCACACAGCCTGGTGAGGCAGACTAGAATGCTCGGCTTCTCTAAACAGTTTCTGAAGCATCATTGTGCTAAATAAATAGACTCCAATAATTTCTAGTAGGTGGGTGTTGCAGGAATTTTGATATTGAGGGGTTTATGAAAGACACTTTTTAAATACCTATGATTAAGGGACAGATCTGCATGGTATTTTAATTCCAGTAGATTTCCTTGCAGACAGGAAAAGATCTCATCTCTAGCAACTGTGGGCTGAGGCAAAAATCAATGTATGGTACATTTTTTACAACAATCTCTTGCAAAACTTCAGCCTAGAGCCAAAGAACCATATTGGGGTTTTTTGAAATTGCAGACAAAGAATCATTTGCTGTGTGTTTGAGTTCCTACTATCAAAGGGGATGTACATTATGCATGAATGGCTTATTATTGATCAAAACACTTTCTAGGTTCAAGAATACTGTCTGCCGAGAGGTCTGTTTGTCAGTGACTGGTGACAGCAGATTGCATGTTATCTTTTGAGTACACATCCCTCTACGTACACACATATGTACGTATGTGTGTACATAGAAAATGTAGGTATGTATATGTCTGCATCTATTCCATACTGGCACGGAATCAGCCCTCCCGATTATAACTTTATCACCAAGCTGGGCAGAAAGTACGGGATTAATGGCACAACCACCCTCTGGCCATGGTGTGCTTTCTGCTCCAAGCTGCCACGGGCACATTTCCCAAGCCAGCGCTCGGTCTCACAACCAGCCTCCCTGGCCCAGCTCCTCCTGCAGGCTCGTCCGCATCCCTCGCCATACCAACAGCGTTACTGCCTAGATTTGCACCTATCTATGCTAGAAAATTGGTCTCCAAAAAGTGGAATATCTAGGGAAAGAGCTGCTGTGACCAAATTTGCACAAGTTAGTGCTAACTCTCTAGCCGCAGGCTGTAGCTCTGTTCTGTGACATTGCTTTTCACTTCCAAAGCTGAATTATCTGTCAACTGTAAAACACCTCCCATATTGCATACAGTGGATATCATGTATATTTTTAACTCATGTATTTTCAACTTGCTTTGACTATTTTAGGGACTATAGAGTTTTTCTTCATCTTTCTGTTACCTCCGCAGAAGGATTTATTTTCTGCTTTATCACAGTTCATCATTATTTAACAGTTTTAACATAATATCAGCATCAAAGATAACTTTGCAATCTGATTACATCTTGGAGCAAGCACGCTTGCAGCAAGCGATGGTAAACTTGCTAGAAAGCTCTCAAGCTGCAACGTTCGCCACTAGAGCATGTGGAGGAATTGTGATGCTTCTACCTCATTTCTGGTTTGTTGGCAGACCTTACGTTGTGCTTAAAGTAACACTCGAAGCAGCACTGTGTCAGGAAAGAGTTGCTCAGGAGGGGGCATGTGCGTGGAGTCAGCACAGATCCATCCTCTAGCAAGGAAAACTTTGTAAGTTGGAAGAAGTGCTTATTGCTTCTGAAAGCCCAGAGAGCAAAGGCCAGCTCTGCTGGTAGGGAAGCTGGTGTGGCACACCGGAGCTTCGGTGCTCAGGACAGGCCGAAGGTCCCCTCGCTTATGTCCCATCGGTCACCTCATGACTTGACTGAAAATCCCTAGGTGATAAGCTTCATTTTGATGGGAAAGGGGTGGGAGAGTTAGTTTCTAGAAACATTTAAAAGCCAGATTATTCTCCAAATCAAACAATTAGAGGTGACTCGGGAAGGGATGGGGAAGAAACCCTTTTATTGTATTTAAACACAAATCCTCAGCAAGTTCTGCAACGGCAGAACTGAATGACGTGCCGTGTTTCACACGGCGGGTGATGCAGAATGTGCACGGGCAAAGCACAGGCGCTCATCATCCCCGGCCTCGCCTGCCCGAGCGAGGCATCCTGCCTGGGGAGCTGGAAGGGAAGCCCCTCGGGTTTCCCACTCGCCTTGCGGGAAGGGCAGAGGCTCGAGCCGTGCGCCCGCGCTGCCGGGACGGCGCAAAGGCCTCGCCGGCGGGGCTGTCGGGGGAGCGTGGGGCACGCCGGCCCGGGGGCAGCGTGGGGGGTGAGCCTCTCCCTCCGAGGCCGGGTGCGTGGGGAAGGCCGGGTTGGTGGGTCCTCGGTGGGTCCTGCCCGAGCACTGCCTTGTGACTGCCAGAGAAGTCAGCCATCAGGTTACATGCCACAGACATTATCTCACAGAAAACTGCACGTTCAGGCTGGTGAAGGAAATGAATATTATAGCAACTCTTCATGAGAGATTTCCTTTCTTTCTGGTGGAGGAGAATCCTAGGAAAGGTAACGGAATTGCAAAATAATCTTTTTCTTTCCTTTGCATAAATTCCTAAATTACATTGTTAAGTTAGTGAGATGATTCCACATGATGCTTTCCTAAGGAGCTAGAAAAAGTAACAATGGACCTGAGCCAAAACCCATCAGCATCAAACTATATCTTGATGTGAGTGAATTTTGGCCTGAGACAGTAGAGTAACAGGATGTTTCTTCTAAGCTTTACTTTCAGCATGTGCTGCTTTCCACGCAAATGTGATCCGTGGTTTCCTTTTTCTCTTTTTTCCTATGATTTAGAAACTGGGATCACGTGGAATTTCTCTGTAGATCCCCCTCAAGGTATGAGGGGAGAACTCAGACAGCTCACCTTTCTCATCTTTTTAAACCCCTTCAAAACTCAAGAGATGGCTCTGGCCACGTATGAAAGCACGGCTGCGAGAAGCACTTGCTGTCGGCCGTCTCGGGACTGGCACCGGCAGACACTCTGGGTTACTCAGGGTACTTTTAGCTATCAGAATAAAGAGAACTGCAAATCTTTGACAGGATCCCAACATTGAAATTGTGGCTTCTCAAGAGTTTTTCTTCCTATGGGCATTCATGCAGTATGATGTTGGCCTTGACTTTCCAAACAGCCTCAAGGAAATGGCAGCGTGTATCCAAATGAAAGACTGCCAGACAAATCCTTCAGTTAGGTCCTAACTGACTACATTTGTCCTCAAAGAAAGCTGACAAGAGAGAGGAGAAATGTGGAAGAGGGATGGATTTTTCTAAAAATAGTGTTCATGAGCCCAATCCCCTTCAGTTTACAATAGAAAACAGCCTTGCTTCTGTGCCAAGAACTCTGAATTTGCAAAATCCTGCTGGTCTTTAGACAAGATCAACTATTGATGAGCTGCAGCCCTCGATGCAGTATTGACCTAAGTTTCCGCACTGAAGAACCTATTGAAGGACAGCTCTCAACTGAGCAACTCTTAACCTGCAAGTCTGGGGTTGTTCTTCAGTGTCTTAAGCCTTTGCCAGCTCTCACAGCATCACTAAAATTATTCAGTTGTCCCTTAAAAATTCTGTAACTGTTCCTTTAGCCAGGAGAGTAGAATTGACAAGAACTTTACAATTTTTTCTTCTATTTCTCTTTACAAATATACTAATGCAGCTGCCTACTGTGACATCTTCTGTCACACTTTGTGAGATCGTTTCGGAAGCAAGGTATTGACCTGCTTTTCCTTATAGCAACTTTTTAATGGCAGAAAAATAAGGATTAAAAGAAAACCAGCACTTAAAATTAGAAATGCCTCGGGTCTGGTGCTTGGCCCCATCAGCACACCCTGAGATGCAACGTGCTGAGTTCACAGTCTGTGCTCTGGCATTTCCCAACACTGTGCATAACCTCGCAGCGTTGCAAAGACACCAGGGGACGGCTACATTCCCAGTGTGGCCTGAAACGATCAGCACACGCAGACAACTCCCTTCTCTGCCTCCTTCCAAAAAGAGCTCCCTACAGTCCTGTCAGTGGTGCAGGTGTTCCCTTACCTGCTAACTACATCGTTCTCATGACATACTGATAGAGCTCTAGAGAGATGCATCGCCCTTCACCCGGCACAGTGGCTGCTCCCAGCGTCTGCAGTGAGTCCAAGGTGGGGGCTCACATCCCCTGGGGAGGACACGCTCAGAGGAGCTGGGCGCTGCGTGGCTGCCAGAGGGCATTTCTGGGGTACCACCAAAGTCCCCTCGAGGGCTGCTGCCTCTGCCGCCCCACTCTTCTGGGCAACGGCAAGACCCCACCGGCGCAGGCTCTGAGCAATGCAGCCTGCAGGAAGGTTGCAGAAGAGAAAACCAGCCTCTCTGCGGGTGCTTGTCCCAGGATTGCAGATTCGTGCGAACCTCTGGGAGAGCATCTCTTCCAGCTGGCACCCAGCACCCCGTGCTCGGAAGCCTGACGGCACCTGAATAAACAAATAACCCACAACAGCGCTCGGGAGGATTCCCCGGCACGGGGACAGTGGTCTGAACACTTGGCCACCAGCCAGCAAATCCACTGGTGACCAAGCCATGCCCCAGATTCAGAGGGATTTTTCTTTTAAAATGTTGCCTTCCCAGGGACAGTGAGAAGAACAGCAGCATTGCCCAATTTAGGAAACAGATCAGAACAGATTCATATTCTGATTCTGAGATTTCAGGTAAGATGCATTTTTCAGCTCTGCATTCAGTCCTGCTGGTATATATAGAGGTCCTATAGAAAAAAAAACAAAACAAAACAAAAACAAAAACAAACTATTTCTTCTAATGACATTTCCAGACAAAAAAATTCAGGCACCGACAGAAAAAAATGCTGTTCAAACAACTGACAGGTTATCTGAGTTCTGAACAGTTGAAAATTCACCTGTCACTAGCAAAGTGAATAAATTCGTATTTTATAAAATAAGATCAACTCAATGCTTTTCTGAACCCCATCAAACTCTTGCCTCAGTAACCAGATAATTACCTATTTTATAAAAACACAGCCACCAGACACACCACTTTTTTAATGGTGTGAGAGATCCTTTCCTCGCTGAAGACCTAGCACCCAGCGGATCTTCTGTGCTAGCACTCACCATCTCCAAAGCTGATCCTGGCCAGTGCTAATTATCTTCCTTTTTTTTGTTGCAGTGTTAACCCTTTGATTGTTCTCTTCACCTAGAGGTCTTCTCTGCTGTTTAACCGTTCTCATTGCCCATCTCAAAGTCCTTTCCATTATTGTTTTATGATTTCACTAACTCAACTCTCAAATAATACTGTCCTAAAACACCTTTGGCTCTAAGAACTGATAAATAGGAACGGAAGACTCTACTTTTATTCCATTTCACTTCATTCATTTTAAGTGAAACATGTACGAAAAAGAAAAATTATACATTTTCTATTACCAGATACTAGTTCATATCCTCCTTACTCTTTCCTTTTTAATATCATCATCAAAAGTGATGCACTTCAATTCTTTTAGGCATACTTTGATGATATTGCAATATGCAGTTTATGGAAAAATCAAATGACATTTTTTTATGTCAGCAGCAGTCTCTGCTGTTTCCCCACTAAAAAGCAACATTTAATTTTTGAGTCGCACATTTGCAGCAGTTGCTGTGGGCGGAGAGTCTGCTTATTTATTTGGTTGCTTTTTACTACAATGTACTGTCATGGCAACTGTACCGAGGGCGAGTGCATCTGGAGGTAATTTATATACGTCGTATTGACTGCAGTAGAATCGGCTTGCACCATTTAAACTTTTTCAACCACTGGGCAAAGGCAACGTTAGCCTTCGGAGGCCCAGCAGCAGCTCCTCCTTAGCGACGAATAACGCGGGCAAAGCGCCGTTTCTTGGCGTTCGGGCGCAGGGCTTGCTGCGCCCTCGCGCTGGGTGCGGGAGCCTGGGCCGGGGCCTCGGCTCTGCGGGCGCACAGCGGGAGCCCCCCCGCGCCGTCGCCCCTGGCAGGGGGGCATCGCCGGGCGCTGCCCAGGCCGGGCTGAGCCCCCCGCCGCGGGGGTGCCGCGGCACAGCCGCTGCGCTGTCAGTCGCCGCCAACATGGAGAGACTGGGCTGGCGCCTGCTGAAAGGTGCGGCGCGCAGCGGCGCTGGAAGGGGCAGGCCCGGGCCGGCGGTGCGCGGCCGAGCACCCCTCGGCCGGCCGCAGCCCCCCGGCCTGGGGGTCCCGCTCGGCCGGCACTGCCCTCCCGGCGCGCGGCACTCGGGCCGGGGCGTTTCCTGGTGCTGCAACTCGATCGCTCCGGGAGCAAAGCGGGAGAGCTGTGAAAGCCCGAGTGACGGCTGGGCAACGATGACTGCCAGTCTGACAAATTCATCTAGCCTCACCATGCTGCCAGGGAGACACAAAAAAACCCAAAACAAAACAATAATAATCTCAAAGCTTCTGAATACCTGTGTGATGGCAGCCGTTGCCGCCTCACCAACGAGGCCCGCAGCAGCAGTGTCTGAAGGCCCGTCCCTTTGCCGTATCGGTGGCGGTTGGAGCCGCGTGCTGCCTGCTCAGCCCCCAGCACCGCGGGGCGCGGCGGCCAAGCCTCACCCAAAGCACGCTGTGCCGCGAGGGGCACGGCAGGTTCCCACTCAGGATCCCCAACGGCTAATACACGCACACGGCTTGCTTCCAGATCAGAGACAGCCTCTCCTGGGAACAGCTCAAGTTTCCAGCAGCCCTATGTTAGGAACAACTAGTGAATCAGATCGTACCTATACTGATAGACAGTATTTCTTCAGATAAATTAGCACAGTAACAATCTGCGGTATCTAATTATGGCTAATTTCCTCTTCATCTGTCTAGGTACTTCTGACCCTTTTACTGTAATTCTTGAGCACTCACAACATTGATCAGAGATTTTCGATAATTTAACTTTAAGGGTCAGCTCTTTAGCTGGTGTAAATCAATGCATCCTCTTTGGTTTTGGAGCTGACGAGAAGGGAGGTGTGTTAAATTTTACAGTGGAGAAAGCGGCCTTAATTTACAAGATCATGCTACAGCCTTGTAGCCCTTTGCACCTGCTTGCTCTCCCAAGTTCTTGGAGAAAGTATAAACACATAGAATATTTTTGGATATTACTCAGCCCTCCACAATGGAGACCAGCATGTATGAACTTTAACAAAAAAAAAAATAAATATTAAAAAGAGCACCTAAATCAGGTCCTCAAGAGCACCCGACTTTTAAAATTTGAAGACAGGAACTCCTGCCTTGAACCAACCCTATTTGGCGATCGCGGCCAAATGAATTCAGGCTCAACTAGCAAAATTTTGGCCAAGAAGTTTCTGAGCTTTGCTTTTGGTTGCTGCTTAGGATAGAAAGAAGTTGCACCACTGAATGAAAAAAGGAATGGGTGGAGACTTAATTGGTAGCATCTATTTAAGAAAGAGGCCTAAGTGAACATCCACAAAACTTTAAATCAGATACTGAAACAAGAAATACAGTGAACAGATGTTTCTTTGCCAGGACTGTGGATTTCAAGAGTGTGTCCCAATTGCAAGTTAAGCAAAAGCCATAATATTTTCTTTTCTGGAAGACACTTCATGTTTTCTCAGTGCTTGCCTGGCTCCACAGAGAAGTGAATGACTGGGAAAACGGGAACTTATGGGGAGATGCCAGCTTTTATTTGCTACAGGAGGTTAAAGGTTCCCTAGAGCACAAAGGAGCTTTTCTTGCCCAGACAATCCCATCACGGTATACATCAGCACAACTAAAGCCTACAAATCTCAGACGCAGTCAAGAGATATCTGGTGAAATTTAGAATTATTTTTTTTTCAAACATTCACTAGTTTTTATGCATGCATATCCACACATCAATATTTGGCAATAGAAATCTACTAATAAAATAGCAGGATCTCTGCTTTCCTTTAAAGCGACATGCACAGCAGCTCACGGTGCTTTGTCTGTAAGTACAGAATCCCCACGTACCCTTCCAGCATAAAGCCTGACTTTATTGTGCTGCAAAGAGATTAATAATTATTATCTATTGTGAGTTGATGCAATTTCTTTTTTTGCCCCACACACCCACACTGCTGTTTCCTTCTGATCTGCATCTGTAGCTTAGCTACTGTTTAGCTGAAAGCAAGGAATTTGATAATACCTTCCTAAAAAGATGCCTGTACCGTGGCTGCCTGTTCCAGCCAGTGACAAAGAATGGAGATGTTGGCCACTGACAAAAGAAAATTAAGAACTTTTTTTCCAAACATGCCAAGAGAAATAACCTCATCCTAAAGGTATTTCTTGTGCATTCCAAGTTAAAAGAAAGAAGGAAAAGAAAAAAAGTAAGGCTGGAGATCTGAAAGTAGTTTCTGCTTAATCAATCATTCTCACCGGCTTAGAGTTTTTAAAGTGCTTAATTATAAACAACAGATGGAGAAATGCTCAACCAGGGAAAAAAAAAAAAAAAAAAAAAAAGCGGTGTGTGGGGGAAAGTCACCCTGCTGACGGGTATTTTGTGTTCGGGTGCCAACCTTCCCCCCTTGGTATTGCAGGTGTCGGCGCTGGCTGCGGGCAGCGCCTGCGGGTGGCAGCGCCCCGGGGGCGCGCGGAGCCCCGGGGGCGCGCGGAGCCCCGCGCCCGCCCCGCCAGGAGGCACCGAAGGGATGGGCTGAACCCACGGGAGGAACCAGCGCCCCGCCAGACAGAGATTCGGGGGCCCGTCGGGAGGCGTGAAGGGCCCAGCTTCAGTAAGGGCATGGCCAAAGCTTTCTTCAGGCTGCAGAAGTTTCTCCGCCGGACCCAGTTCCTGCTCTTCTTCCTCACAGCAGCTTACCTGATGGCTGGCAGCCTCCTGCTGCTACAGCGGACGCGCCTGGTTATCCAGCAAGGCTCGCACGGGACCTCCGCTACCCAGGCCCTGCCGGGGCCGGGCGGCGAGGCCGGGGCTGGGATGGCAGAGCCCGGGGCGCTGCACAGCCCCCGGCCCGGCCCCGGGCTGCCGGCCGGCCGGGACGCGCTGCAGGAGCCGGCGCTGGGCCAGGCGCACGGCCCGCGGTGGCTGGCGTCCCGCAACTCCGAGCTCAGGCAGCTGCGGAGGAGGTGGCTTCACAGGTTCGTCAGCGACCAGGAGCCCGTGCGAGCAGCGGGATTCAGAGCGATGAAGCACGCCGCTGAGCACAAAGGTAAGGGACATACCCCCCTGCCCCCCTGCAACCCACAAACTGCACCGCCTGCTGGGACTGTCCCAGCCAGAGACTGGCGAGCACCGAAGTGTCCCTGCAGAAGTGCCTTCCTCCTGGCTCATCGCCACTTTCAAACCAGTTTGCAAGCGCATGTTCAGGCCAAAGTACGATCCTGACATCCCTGGTCATGCTGAAGTGCAACTCGCTCCAACAAAGTATTCTTATTTATTGAATGGAAGTCCAGATAGGGAAATATGCTTCCCTCATTTAAGTTATTTTCTCTTCAAGCAGGCAGAGATGAATACTGTTTAATTCATTTTCTTTCTCAGAACAGGGGATGCTTTAAAAGTGGGTTTTATGAAATTAACTATCCAAAACCACACAGTACCTCAGGTCTAGAAGTGCCTCTTTGCTGCTAAAGCTGTCTAGCATATACTAAATCCTGCTTTGGAAACACGTTCAGTGATCCTGACCTGCCCTCTGTGAACATCTCCGCACTGTCCTTAGGGGGACAGATGTGGGCCATACAACCCTCCTGAATCGGAGGCAGACTCCTGGTGCTTTGTGAGTTTGCTGGCAATTTGCAACAGGCTAAAGGGAACGCAAGGGGGAATCCACACTGCTGCGTGGGTGCAGTGCATCAGCGACCGGAGCACAGGGTACAAAGCTATATATTTTCCAATCCAAATGGAGAGCCATTCAGGTTTGACAGAAATGTGAGTTCCCTTCACTGTGAGCCTGATCCTGCTGCTCTAAGTGCTGCTGATAAGTACAGGCATGGGCTGCTTTGGTTTGTTCAGTAGGAAAGCTTTTAGGAAACTATTATCCAGAGCAAGCAAAGCAGGAGTCCCTAGATGTCCATGCTTCCTGCGGGGTTGACACCCTTACGACCCGCCCCAGGGAGTTCAGCACAGCACCCCCTCGCCGGCCCGCGAGGCGCTGCGGGGCGCTGCACGAGGCTGGTGCCCACGGCCTGGGGCTGTTACAGGGCTGAGCTGCACCCCCAACTCCGCGGTCACTTCCGTGGGCTGAGCGTCCCCAGGGAGCAGACAACCCCCCTCGAGGGGCCCAGCACAGAAAAAGCATCAGCACTCGGGCTGGGTGACTGACCGTGCTCTCCACACTGCAGCGTCAAATCAGGCGTTTGCAATCTTTGGTCCATTGCCTTTTAGAAGAGCTAGCCGTTCTTGGAGATGTTTCACTGGTAATAGAAAAAGGAATGGGATCTGGATGGCTAGACACCACATTACTAAACACCACATTACTAAACTGCTCTTTAGTTTGTTGAATACATTTACCCAAACAAAGGGGCACCTTCTGCAAAAATCCCACAAAAAGGGTGCCACCTCCTGACTCCTACTGAGTGAATTGTCAGAAATGGGAACAGGAAGGTGACAGTGATGGTGTATGGGAGATGAGTCACACAGCATGAATCAGGTAAACTGTAACCGCTGGAGTTACCTGAAGCACCAAGCTGGAGCTTCCAAGAGTGCTCCACAGTCACTTTGTAACACCTTCCCATTAGCAAGTTTTGGTGGCAGAGAAGAGAGGCTGCAAAGCATGGGTGTCTTCCAGAGAACCCCACCGCGTTTTTTGATGTGACCCAAGCATATAGCCCAGGTGCTCAGAGCCTAAAGACAACCCCCGGGCTAGCATGAAACATGAGGTTGCAACTCCACCATCCCACACACTGGGATGAAGCCTGGTGGAGGGGAGCAGAAAGCTCTGGGGAGGTGCCCTGTCCCCGTTGGGAAGGGCTGGACGCAGACACCACTGACTCTCGGAGGGAGGAAGACACACCTTCACCTTCAGCAAATACATCTTTTGCTGACTTCGATCACCACCTACTTTAATAAGCTTTTTGTGGACAGATGCAGAAAAGAACCACGTGAGCCTCCAGGCTACCACTTTTGTACCTGCACCTCATAAAACCAGTATTGAATATTCACAAAGTGTTACTTTTTCACTCTTCTGCAAGCAGCAGACACCCTGGTCTCAGCTGCTCAGTAGAAGCTGGGAATTTAACAAGGAGGGGCTCAGGCATGGTGCTGCCTGGGCAGGCTTGCTGCTCCACGCCGGGGGATCCCAGGGGCCGGGGCAGGAGAGAAAGCAATACAATAAGATTTGTTCCCTTGCTCCAGATGCCCTGTGGTTTATACCTCCACACTGCACGTGCTCTGGCAGCGTGGGTATTTTCGGTGGGTTCAGTGATGTGAGCCTGGCTTGCTGGATCCAGCGAGTGCCCACGAGTCCTTTGGCTTTGCTGGTCCCGGCTGTGCTCAGACAGCACACGCCAGGGTCTCCCTTCACGGTCTGTACCTGCTTGGGCTGCTCCAGTCCCCCTTGTGTTTGGCAATTTTTTTTCCGCCCGATGAACAAAAGAATAAATAAAAAGTAGAGGCACATGGTGAGTCTTTATGAGCTACTCTAATACCAGTCAGAGTACGAACCTGTTCTTTAAAAACTTTAATTAAAACAAAAAATGTTAGCTTTGAAAACCATCCATAAAGTTAGTTAAGGTTAGTGCCTGTATCAGCCATTAAGTTAGTGCCTCGATCGGGTTCTAACTGTTGACTGAGAGGAGCCAGAAGGACTATTTAGTGCTACATCCCACTGAACTATGTTGATTCCAACACGCATCATTTGAATATCTGACTGAACATGAAGTGATATTATTAACAACAGTATTGGTAACAAGCCTTGGAAATTATGAATTAAAAACATAACTACCTATGTAGAGAGCATGATATCTCCCCCACCCCGTGGCCCCCCCGTTTAGTAAACTTCCAGGCCTGTTATTTCATATGGATCCCTTCCACGATATGGTGAACTCCTCCGTGGTTATAATGCTTACTGAAGTTCGGGCGGCGCGGTGCCTGGCCGCGGTGTTTGCGCGCTCCTCCGCAGTGCCGCCCCGAGAGCGCCCGAGCCCCGCCGCTCTGCCCCTGCGCGCGGGGGGATGCCAGCCAGCCCTCCGCGGGCAGACCCCGAGCCCCAGCCAAAAACGACGGCAGCTGCTCCAGCACGGCGTGAGCGCCCCGGGCTCAACCTGCCTTGCTCTGTGTCCACCCGGCACCACGCGGCCTTGGGCGAGAAAATTCAAGTCCTTTTTTTTTTTTCTCCACGTCAAGCTATCTTGCATGCTTGCACTGCGAGAGGCTCAGGGTAGGAACCACACCTTATCCTGCCAGGGAGACTGGCAAATAGTATTAGAGCAACAAATAAAACCAGGAATTTGTTAGGTAAAAAATGAAAATTTTCTGCTACAAACACTTCCAGCGGACGGGGTGTTTCACACCGTCTCCCCTGGCCTGGCGGTGCCGTTGCCCAGGTGCAGAGGTGACAGGGACCAGCTCACTGATGTGACGTTCTGCTCGAGGCGCGCGGAGTCTCCCCGTGCCCCGGTCGGACACGAAGGGGCCGGTGCTGCCGGGCTGCAGGAGGGAGGTGGGGGCCTGCCCGTGCCTCCCCACTCCGGACCTTTGGTCCCACATGTGGAGTTTTCTGCTGCTACTGGTTTGAATCGAAGCACTCAAACCATAAGTCTATAGTAAAATGTAGAACATCCTTATTGCAGGTGTGTGACTCCCGTCTCGTTAACAGTGTACTGTGGGTGTCCATTCACAGCTTGTGAATTTCCTAATTGCATGCTTGCAAATTACCAGTGTGCAGGTCTTTGAATCTACTGTTGTAATATTTAAATGTTTGATTTATTATTCCTAGCTCGAAAATCTCTGTTAGAGTGGCTTGAACTTTCTTTTTCTTGCGGATTATTTTATTGTTAATATAACACTTTTTAGTTTCGCTTTTCATCATATATTCTCTTCCTGTCCACAGCTCATGTTATTTAATTTCCCTGTGTTATCATCTCAATAGTGCTACTTCCAAAATCAAATTTCATTTTTTCCTTTGTATTTTAATGATAAAATGTACTTATGTACACACAATTGATGCATAATAGTGGGACTCCACATCATCCTTCCAATCATATATTAAAAAATGGGCTGGATTTTTATAGTATTTTGTTCATGACAACAAAAGAGGCTTAACATAGGACACAGTCTAAGAGAAATATTTATCTTTCATATGCTAAGTAAAGCAAGACATATTTTAAGAGATTCATTTGCACCAGAGATAGTTCGACTCGATAGCTAGACAGTGCTGCCTAGTTAAGGCTGAATTTATCTTTCCATTATAGCTTTAATATAACTCTATGTACCCAAAGAAAATTGATTTTCTTAATATTTCTCTTGTACCATCTTATCAACCAGAGATTTTCAAGAAAACTCGGGAGAAATCCAACAAGATTTCCCAAAGTTTATGCCATTTTGATGACTACCTTCTCCTTTACTTTAGAAGTTTGCCATGCTCTGCCACCGCCGGGAGGGAAGGGGGCAGGCAGCAGCTGCCCGTGGGAGCCGTGGCTCCGGGGCGGTCGCAGACGCCGGGTCTGCAAAGGCAGGCCTGTTGGAGGTAACCTGGGTCAGGGAAAAGTCTAATTTCCCTTCTGCTCCTGTCCTTCAGACTTGCAAGCTTACCCCTTCAGTAGCACCTGCAAAGGTTCGGTACCAGCAGACAAGTCTGCAGAGCAGGATGCTGGACAGGTTGGCGCTCGCTCGAATACAGCCCTGCTTGCAACGTGCGGCGCTGGGTCGCTGCTGGCTGCCTCCCCCTTCTCCCCCATCTCCGTTCCGGGCACTCTGCCTAACTCTGGTCTTGCATGCACACAGGCACCTACATGGGATGCTTCAGCGATGATTCGAGGGAGAGGACACTGAAGGGAGCTGTGTTTTACGATTTAAGGAAAATGACAGTATCGCACTGTCAGGAAGCTTGTGCTGAGAGGTTAGTGGTATTTTTTCACTGCAAATTTTCTCTTTTCTGACAATAAGCGGAACTGAATTTGAAATGGGAAAAGCACGCATGTGTTAAACATATAGCATCTGTGAAAACTGATTATCTGATATCTTCAGGCATGGCATCGCTCTGCTACATTACTCAAAGTAGATTATTTCACTGCTGCCTATTCTCTTTATTATAGCATGGCTACTTACAATATGTTTTCTGTTGTCCTGGTCAAAAATTACTGTTTCGCTAGATAGTCTTTGTTAGATATTTGTTAGATATTGCCCTCTAGCCCAAATCTTTGATCTAAAATATTAAAAAAAAAAAAAAGCTATGAACAAACTAGCACCCCCAAAAAAGGGAGAGATCGAGACAAGCGGGTGTGTGGCAGGGAGCAGGGCGTTCCCAGTGCCGCCCGGGGAGCTGCCGGTCACCTGGGAGCAGGCAGGGATGGGCTCCTGCCACCGCTCTGCCTGCCCTGCTCAGCCAAGGCAGGGCGCGGGCTGGGGATGACGCACCTGGGGCAGGACTGTGTGAAAACATTCACGGAAAAGACTTCTCGTTGCTCCCAAGCACGAGAGAAAGCAGAAGACCAATGCAATCTTAGAGCTATTCCTGCCAACCTTTCTGCCCTTGGTCTGTAGGGCGACGCAGCGCACGTGGTGTCTGAGCTGCAGCTTAACCTCATCCTGCTGGCGTTCAGTCCCCGGTCCCAGCCCAGTCCCCCCGCAGCCACGCAAAGACGCTCCGCTCCAGGCAGGGCTGTCCCTCGGGCGAAGGAGACCGCTCTTCTCTCGGAGGGACAGGCTGTCAGGCCCCGGCAGATGCGTTTTGGAGGCCATGGAGCCGGGCCCCGGCTGGGCGCTGCCAGCGGAGGGACCTTCACCTGCCCCACGGGAGCGCCTCGCCTGCAAGGGGGACCCGGGGGCGCGGGCACCTCGGAGAGGCAGCCAGCCTCGGGCCTGCCGTTGGAGCAACGGCCTCGCCCTGGGCTGAGCGCCTGAACACAGCCCGGCTGGATCCCAAACGCTCAGCTTTAAATGCCAGTTAACAGAACCTCCGAAAGGGGCTTTTCTCCCCTGTCACTCCGAACCCTCCCAAACGTTTCTGCTCAACACCTGCCGTGGCAGCTCTGGGCGGGGGCGGCGTCACCCCCAGCCACGGGGCCGTCACGTCCGCAGCGCAGGGTGGGAGCGGGGCCAGCCGTGCTCCCACGGGGACGACACAAGCACGGCCGTGCAGCTGGACACGAGGCCGCGGCTCAGACCCCCACACCAGAGGCAAAGCCCACCTCGTCCTCCCGGGACCCCGCCGGGCCCAGGCAGGCCGTGCCGGGCGGCCGCCCCGGCCCCTGCCATCGCCGCGCTGGTCCCGGGGCCGGCTGCATCTCCGGAGCAGGGCAGCAGAAGCGTACACCGTACCCGGGGCCAGGCTCCTGCCTGCATTACATACTGACTCGGGAACAGACGGGGTGCCTGTCCCAACAGCACCTGGTTTTGCTCCCCACAGGGCTTACACCTACGCAGGCCTGGCGTACGGAGCAGAGTGCTACTGCGGGAACAAGCTCCCTGCCACCGCCTCGAAGCCCGAGGAGTGCAACAGCGAGTGCAAGGGGGAGAAGGGCTCTGCCTGCGGAGGGGTGAACCGGCTCTCTGTCTACAGGGTGGAGGAGCTGCGGGCAGGAGCGAGGCGACGTAAGTGGATGCGCGACCGGGGAGAGGAGGCCGCTGCCCCCAGGAGCGACGCTCACCCCACGGGGGGAGACGCCGGGGCCAGGCCGAGCACGCGGGCTGGCCCCAGTGCTCATCTTGCTGCGTTTGTCACCACAGCCAAGGACGAAGCTGCCCGTGGGGCACAGTGTCCATTTGCTGCTGGTCTGGTCCTGGGCTCCCTCCCCAAAACGGCAGCGCTGCTCGCTGCCGCGGAGCGGTGAGATGCCCCTGGCGCAGCTGCCTCGGGACTGCCACGTAGGACGTTAGTGTCACCAGGGAAGAAACAGAATGCAGAGCAGAGCAATTGCAACAGCAGCAGAATTTCAGCTGAAAAACTACTCCCTTTTGCGTCCATTGCAGAGCAACAAACCCACACGTGTTTAAGAAACAACCTTGGAAGTGGGTGCCTTATAATGGAAGGGCAGAAGAGCACTTGTATCAATGCCACCCTAGGCTCAGAAATGATCCTAAACAAAGTAAGTGCTATGTGACCGCAGCAGGAGAATGAGTAGAGGCCAGAGAGGCACAGCAATCTCTTTCCTAAGTGAGAGAAATGAGACCACAGAGTTTTGCTCTTCCAAGGACTTCTGTTCTAGCAGTGGTTGGGATTTTTATTTCATCTTCAGATGACAACACTTACTCTACTTGTCATTCAATTAGCTACCATGGGAGATAAAATAGATAAAGCTTTGGGCCAACACAAAGCACATAAAATATCTAAACAGCTGAGCAGTCTTTACTTCTGGCAAGCTCACAAAACCTTACAGATGTTATTTGCTGAGAAGAAGCACCAAGACCTTAGGTTGTGCCGCTATTGATGGTACTTCATTTCTTCTTAAAGACAAGTCAAGGTTTGTACAATAACCCACCCAGCTACATATAAATTATATATCAAAGGTACATAGACCTAAATTGCTAGTGTCAGGCTGACAGGCACATTGGCAGGTTTCCCAGGACATGCATCAGTGTTTAAATTTTCAGCATAAAATATATATACATATTTCACAGGAAAAGGCAGCAGGGTTTTTTTCTTAGGTATTAATGAATTAGTCATCAAATTAGTCTAGCCTGGAGCTGGATTTGTATTTTTTCTTGCCCTTAGTAATACCTGATATTCGACTGTGTGAAGAATCCCACTGACACAAACTAGCTGAGGGGCCAACAGAAGTATTAATCATGATGAACGAGTATATTGGAAAGTAACTCTGAAATGGTAACAGCATCCGTGATTTACACTATGCAATATAGAGAACAGACCTTGCATAAGGCTTCTACTTCGGCAGAGCAGACCCAGTGGCATCTCTCTTTAAGCCTTCCCAGCCCTGGGGTTTGCTGGGTCCCCTCTCTGTCCCTCGCCTCCCTGGGCACCACGATGCTGTGCAGCTCCTGCGCCGCAGGACTCGTGCCCCCACATCACGTTCAATGCAATGAAGCTCAAAGTCTGCAGCTATTGCAGGCCGGGGATCGCTGTGGCACAGAGCGCCGTCCCCCTTCCCCAGAGGGCAGGCAGGCAGTGTAAATACAGCACAGCACGTTCCCAGTGTGACCCGTGGGTTCTCTGCAAACCCTGCTCCCTCCCCGGCGCCCGTGTGGGCAGTTCCAGTTTTCTTCCTGACCCACTGAGACAACTCTAAACATGTTCACAAACATTTCGTTTCAGGATTTAAATATTAGTGTGAGATTTAGTAGAAAGTCTTTCAAGAGCATGGTGAGAAGCCAAACAACTTCTGTTCCTTTATTCTTTGGTGCCGTGCTTGCAGTGATCTCAGGGAGACTCCTGTTTCCCCCCAAGCTACACTGAGTACTTTTATTTTCCCATCTCCTGAGTGATCCCAAAGATATTGCATTCTAGTAACTGGTTTGAACAATTATTAGAACAATATTTAAGCAGCTTCTCCATAGACTACTCTTGGCTCATGCAAACCATATTTTCCCTTCAGAACTGCACTGCATCTCTCCCGTCATCCGACACATTTCCCACATCTCTTCTGGTGACTATTGCTTAAGGTAGCCAGTGGGTGTGGACCAGGACTCAAGACCCAAATTAATTCCCAAATCCACCTTCCTGCCTGTTGAGTCATGCTAGGCAAATTCTGTCAAGAGAGTTAGTACAGAGCAATGAAGTAAAGGCATTAGTAAAGCCCACAAAATCCTGTGATTATAGGAGTGTCATACAACATGCAGACGTGTTTGTTTTTTTTTTTTTTTAAACCAGCCACACAACGTTATTCACTTCGTTACCATTAGTTCATCTGTGCAAATGCATGGCCTCACCCAGAGTAGTGAGTATCCATGGCAGCTTTGGGTTTTCATTTGGTTCTGTCAGTGGACATTTCTCTCTTAAGCAGGAGGGAAAACTGTATTGCTGCTTGTAACAAGTATTGGGGCCAAATGCTGATTTCAATCAGTGGTGCAAAAAAATGGAGCAATTCTGCCAAGTTCTGTGGCATTGATAGAGGAGCAGGTGAGATCAGAGGCTGATACTAAAGACTTGAAGAAAGCTGTTCTCCCTGAGCAGCTTACAAAAGCCTAGTTTAGATTTTGAAGGCTGCAGCAAACTCCCTTGGCCTGAAAAGAAAGCGAGGGGGAAGAGGAGAGGAATAGCTCAGCAGCTGAGCAGATGTGCAGGAAGGTGGGTCCCTGTGGGGGCTTTCAGGACTCATTTAAATTCCTTTCCTTTTCTGGTGCAGATCATGGGAAGCTTTGTAGATTTTTATCGGGGCTTTTAAGTCTTTCAGGGGAAAGCCTGTCTTCAAAAGAAAACTGGGACTTGCAAACAATAGCAATGCCCTCCACTGGTGGAATTTAATTTAAACCCTTTGCTGCAGCCCTACTTTCACTGGTTTGTACAAAGCTAAAAGCATGTGCTCCTTTCAATACTACAGGATTTGCAACACATTTTTCTAGGTTATATCATGGTTTCTCTTATTTCTACAGCATTTGCAATATAAAATTTATTTTATTATTTTTAGCTTCTGAACCTAATATTGTTCTTTGTGAAAGAGGCAGGATACTACGGACATTGTTTTCTCAAGAGAAACCTATTTCATATCCCTGCAGGGAGGAATGTTATCTATCGAGGATGTTTTAGAGCTCCAGAAAATTTAACAGACACCTTTCCAGCCTCTTTGATACAGCCCAATTTGACGGTGGAGATGTGCTCTGAATTTTGCTCCAAGAAAGTAAGAACAGTTCTCATTTCACATCCTTTCTTCTTTTCTGTTATTTTAAATTTTAATCTACTAAGGGAATAGCAGAGATTAGTGCCTTAGAGCTTTGAATTTGTAAATGAGTTTCCAAAGGACAGAACTCATCAGAGTAAATACCCAGTGATGCATCTGGTCCGAGTGCTCTCTCAAGTGGGGACAGCGGGAGGGAAAGCCATCGGAATGATGCCACTAAATACGATGCAGAGGAAAGCTGCTCCAAGTGACGGGGCACTGACCGTGGGGGAAGGGATAACCGCCTCCGTGTCCCGTTCAAACCAAGCCCAGAGCCGGATCCCACCCCTGGGGAAGGGCTCGGTGCCTGCGGCTCATGGGTGGCTGCGGGCTGGCAGCCCCCGCAACGCGGCTCCAGCTCCCGGCGGGGACACGGTCCCTGCGGGGCTCGGGGGGAGCCGGTCCCTGCGGGGCTCGGGGGGAGCCGGTCCCTGCGGGGCTCCGGGGCTCCGGGGGAGCCGGTCCCTGCGGGGCTCGGGGGGAGCCGGTCCCTGCGGGGCTTCGGGGCTCGGGGGGAGCCGGTCCCTGCGGGGCTCGGGGGGAGCCGGTCCCTGCGGGGCTCCGGGGCTCCGGGGCAGCCGGTCCCTGCGGGGCTTCGGGGCTCCGGGGGAGCCGGTCCCTGCGGGGCTCCGGGGGAGCCGGTCCCTGCGGGGCTCGGGGGGAGCCGGTCCCTGCGGGGCTCCGGGGGAGCCGGGGGAGCCGGTCCCTGCGGGGCTCGGGGGGACCCCCAGCGCCCTCCCCCTTGCCAGCCCTGCGTGCTCCCCTCGGCGGCGCAGCAGCACGCACTGCCACCGCCAAAGAGCTTTAACGCAGAGGTATCTACACACAACTTCTACACCAGCGTATAACTGTGTGTGCCAGGAACGTGATACAATCTTAAATGTAAAAAAAAAGAAAAAGCTGCCAGAGAAAAATTTCAGCAGATAAGCACACTGGAAGCAGGTGAACTTTCCTGGTACTTACATACAAGCGTGTCTCTCTCCACACCAGAAGAATTTATACCACTTTCACAGTAACCTCTAATTTAAATCTAAATTTAAATTTATTATTAATAATTAATATTTAATAAATAATAATAATTATATTATTTTAAAATAGAATCATTGTATAAATTTGTGACGATATCTAAGACTACAGGAAAGGTCAGTTGTGTGCTTATTGGGTTTTGGACAGAAGGTGAGAAGGGACATGCTAACGTCTGCCGTCCTTGTGCACACTCTTGGCCTGAAGCATCACCTTTGCTCATCCTCCACACTCATTGCAGAGTAAGACCATGGATGTAAGAACTGAAGGAGCTGGACTTTGATGGACATGGGTATCCTCACGAGAGGGAACATTTGGCCCACGGCACCCTCTGCTTTAGCTTCAGTTGGTTCCTTTCCTTTCCTCCCCACTCGGATGGGACTTGGCTTTTCATACAGGAGGAGGGTTCACTGTCTGGTCAGATTTAGCCTAAAGCCACATTCATCCTCATGCACTAAACTGAACATTAAATTACTTTGTCTTCTAGCATCACAAAATTGATTAAAACTATTAAGGCATGAACAACAAATCTGCTTAATTACTAGGTAGAGTGGGAAAGCTTTCCCAGTCAACATATCCTCTATAACAGCTCATCAGTGTTTTAAGAATGTATCATGGAATTAATTCTGTGCAGCGAATTGCAGTGAATCACCCCTGTACCCTGTATATAGTACCCTACGAACACGCATACAAGCACACTATCACATCCTCTATGCATGTAAATGTTCAGTAAAGCAGGACTTCACAAGCAATTCTTTCCAAGCTCTGCCATTAATCTGTTGTTTAACAGTGGGAAAAAAATCTTGATCTTTCTGTGTCAGTTTATCCACATGTAACATCATTTTATTAATATTTACTGATGAAATGCAATTAATTATTGCTTCTCTATCTGAGACAATGGTATGAAATATCTGGAGAAGTTTTCAGATGTGCTCAGAGGTCAATGTTTTTAAAAATAGCCATACCATTCTGTTTCGGGAGATAGCTTTTCTAAATAAGTAGGTTTTTAGAAGCATTGTTCCTTCAAGGTTTTCTGGCCATGCAGCCAAAAAGTGGAAGTATCTGAGATTACTGATGACTGAGAAGGATAAGAAAAATACCAAAACCAAAACGTAACACATTAGCATGACATTTGAATGGGACTAGGATAGAGGAAAGCACCAGGATGGAGGAAACTGCCCATCTCTGCAGAACAGCTAGTGCCTTTCCAGAGTTTGAGTCCATGCATATTTGTTTGATGAAGCTTGTGTGAGAAAGCCAACAGCAAAACAGAGATTCTAACGGATTAGATAAACTGACTCCTTCTGCACAGAGGGCTGCAGAAATGATAACATTAAGAGGAAAAGGTACTGAAGGGAGGTGAAGAATAGGTTTAGTACCTCTGCTTTATTCTTTCCCTAAATTGGTACAGGTAACAACCTGCTTATCCTCCCTCCTTTAACTCTGCTTGGCCCCATGCCACCCTCTGAAAGGTGACAATATTTGCCTACAAAAAGACAGGCAAGGTCTCCCTCCACTTAAGAAGCAATTGCGTATCCACAAATCCAGTAGTTACACCACAATTTGTACTTTAACTATGAACCAAAACAAGCCCTATTATGACACTACAAACATTTGTCCTGACTTTGGTTCCTTTCCTTTCAAAGTCAAATGGACAACTTCTTAGTCAACAGCAACATACTTAGCCCTCCTGAAATCAGGAAGGCACTGTCATTTTAGTCCAGCCCGTTACGCTGAAAGGAATTACCCCACCGGTTTGTATGTATCCTCATAAAGCCAGTGGACTTTTAAATGGAACTACAGTTAGATGCTTAAACACATGAATAAGTCTTTTGCTCTTTGGGACTTAGAAGAAAAGCAAATTGAGGCGTACCATATTTATTTGCTAGCCCTGCAAATTGCTTCATGCAGCTGAAATGGTAGCTCCAGCCCTTGGAAGCATTCGAGGTAACAACTTCAGATGAAACCTGCTAAATACCCTTAATTATCAATTTCTTTCTTAATTAACACAGTGATGACATGACTTAATAGCAACCCATTATCACCCCATAACACAGATCCAGGAATGTGTTTGTGCTAGGTCCCTTGGCCAGAAGCCGTAATTTTCATATATGCTCTTTTATAAGCCAACCTGCATACTAAATGAGCCATCTCCATTTGAATTTATATTTTTAAATAAACAGTCCATTTACCACTCAGCTTCTCTATGCAGTTATAAATCTGGAAGAACACTAAGTCTTGAGGAGAGAACCCCAGTATCGAAATGCATCCAAAAGCCATGCTGGCAAGTTTTCACACTTGAATATTACCAAAACTAAGGTGTTTTTTCTGTTCCTTAAAAAGCAATATATAGAATACAGCAATCTTCTAATTTCAAGAACAAACCTGCTACTTCGGATTCCAGAGGTAGCTACGTGCCATCATTTACCCATAAACAAAAGACTCCTGTGATTTCGACCCAAATCCCGTTGTAGAATTCATACAGAGTATTTCCATAGTTTCATTTAGATATTTTTTTTAAAACACAATAATCCAAACATAAGTAGTCCAGAACCTGAACTGGCGCAGATAATCACAGCCCTGCTGACTTTATTGCAGCAGTGAGAGAGGAGTATTTCAAACCAGGGTCATATTGGGTGTAACAGCACACAGAGGAATTGTCCCCTGGCCTCAAAAGATCACAGAATAAAAAAAGCCAGAATTTTTATGCAAGGGTGTGATTGGCTTTATGGTATTTATTCTTTGCTCTTAGTATATCCAGTTCGATAAAAACTTGAATAATGACTTCTAGGTTTGCTGCAAAATCAACAAGTCCATTTTTAAATAAACCAAACCCATCATTTTTACTTGGGAGAGAAATTTCCTTCCATGATTAGCCCTCCATCTCTTATTCTTTTTTGCATATTGAGAGAAAAATTTTAACTGAGTCAGATAGGAGAGTTCGTACAGCAAGTTGGAAAATAAATTAATTTAGCAGAGTAATCAGGGTAGAACCAGACAAGTGTATTCTTATCTAGTCATAATTCTTCATTTGGATACAATCTAATAGAAAACAATCAGTGACTGAATCATCACATCATCTCTGTTGCTATTGGAGAATGATTGCTTTCCTTACAGCACTTAAACTACCTGTTAAGGCTTCATCTCACAAATTATTAGGTGAATAGTCCCACTGACATCAGCTCTCACTGAGTTACAGCTTGCAGGACACCTGAGCCTGTCGGCCCATGCTCTAAAACTCAATCCAGAAAAATGCGTATTCACAGACCCACTGATTTCTCTGGCAATCCACTTGTGTTTAACTGAAGTGAAGCACCGCAGGCTTGTCTGTGCTGAGCTTGAGGGCTAGTCCTGCACTTAAGTTACACGGTTGCTTAAAGCCATAACCACAGCTCTGGGCATACATACACACACAGGCGAGCAAAGTGCACGGCTGCTAGTTTTGACTAAATATGGATGGGAAGCCAAGATCGAATACCTTACTTTGCAGTCGCTTTGTGCACGGCATCAGGCAGACAGACAGTCGGAATGATCAGCCAGCTGGTTACAGGGCTTCGCACCCACGCTGGGGGTCCTGGAGCAATTCCCAGAACCACTGGCGCGCTGCTTTCGACGCTTGTGCCACCACCACTGAAACGCTGAACCCTTCGGTCCCTGCGCTGCCCCCTCCCCTCCGGGCCCTGGCTGCCCGAGCGGCTGGCAGGCTGCGGGGCCGAGGGTCGGCCCGGCCGCCCCGCGCTGCCGGCACCCCGAGCCCCGTGCCAGCGGCCGCGGGACAGCCCCACATCGACCAGCGCTTCTGCGGGTGCAGGAACTACGGGGCAGCACCCGCTTCGCCCTCTCCGCAAAACCCCCAGCGTCCAGGAAAGTCAATCGCTGGCAGGTGCCACTTGGCATGAGGTACAAGCTACGTTTTTGTTCAAGACTGTTTGAGAGCCAGGACACTTATTCATTTCTCAAATTGAGAAACACTGCTTCATTGTAAGGGAAAAATTTCTGTTTGCTGCAAAACCAGGACTATTTTGCCCTTGGGTCAAATCTGTAAATAGTTTTTGACAAGGGCCTATCTCATTCGCTAAGCAAATGTTGGCTGTTTGGGCACAGATGGCACATGTGTTGTATTTGACTCCTTATCAGAGGATGAACACGTGGGGAAGAGTAAAAGATAAGCTGCTCATCAGTCCTGTCACACACTCCCAGACTCCAAAAGACTCTTAAAAGGCAAAAAGTGTTGATACGGAATAGGAGGAGTTGAACACTCCGTGCTCCAATAAGCCCTGAGCTCCCTTCAGCCGTCCTGTGGCTGCACCAAGCCCATCCCCACACACCCGCGCCCCCGAGCCAGCGTCAGGGCGCTTCGGAAACCCGAGGGAAAACAACCCCAGGCTCCGGCCAAGGGGAGAAAAACTTCATTTTAGGGCCAGTTTTGGCAAAGCAGTAAGTGCACTTTTCCGACCGAGCACATGAGCAACCGCTAATTTCTTCAGCAAATAATTAGCACACATTTCCCTCAAACCTCTAAGTCTCATCCATATTAGCACAGCGGCCCAGCCTCACTGTGCTGCCACCACACAGCAACGCTGCTTTGCAGCCTGGTGCCTGTTTTGGGTAAGACTGGTACACCAAAACCTGAATTCATTTTCATCAAATCCATTGAAAAGAAGTTTCTTACAGCCAAATGTTTTCCTTGGGAATGATTCCCTTGGAATGAACACCACCTGTAACCCTTCTGTAGTTGCACACTCGCACTCTGCAGCGAGAGCGGCGTTTGCGGCGCGGTCTGGGTTCCAGGGGAGGTCTCCCCACCTCGAAGCGAGGCGACGCGACCGGGGAGGTGTCGTGGCTGCAGATGAGCCCCTGCCCCGCCGCGCGGCAGCGCCAGGCGCGGCTGCGGCCCCCCGACACCTCTGCCCTCCCGGAGCGGCCCCGCGCCCGCCCTCGGCGCAGGCCCTCTGAGCAGAGGTGCCAAAAATCACTTGCTGTCGTACTTCTAAGCAGTTTTTTCAAAAACACACACAGTAGCTTTCAAACCCTGTATCATGCGCATTCATTTTTTGCAAACTGTGAGGAAGTCAGACTAAGATGCATATTCTTTTTTGTGGCTTGACTTTTTTTCTTTCTATCTTTAAACAAGATTGCAGCAGTTAGTGGGTCTAAATTTCCTTCTTTGCTTAAATTCTTTAAGGGCAGGTTGCCTCCACACAATCTCCAGGAAAATCAACTGAGGCAAACTTTTTAAGAGCTGACTCAGTTTGGGGGAATATAAATGGAAGTTTTAAAGATGATCCAATTCAAAGCGCTCATTTTGGGGGTAAATAAGAATAACTTTTCCCACACTGATGTTTTTCAGGTGGAATTACATACTAGGTGCTGCAGGAATATTATAAAATTATTTTTATGAATAATGAAAAAATGCCAGAATATTGTGAATTTTCAAGCTTTACAAGGCTCGTGTCTGAAAACCAACTTTTAAGGAATTGCCATATGAAAGACAGTAATATATAAGAAGCATGAGCTTTACAGCGATATATCAAACGCTGCTTTGATCTTGACAGTGGCCTTGTGAAGATTTATTTTTCTTTGTATAGCAGCAGCATTCCCTGCAAGCTGTTGATGCTGAAGCATTTACGCACGGATCTATTTTCTCTTTTTCGTAGGAGTTTCCCTTGGCAGTCGTCCGAGGGCGGGAGTGTTACTGCGGCTACCCCACCGGGCGCTTCCCACTGCACGGCGGCGCGGACGGGCTGCCCTGCGGCGGGGCGCACAACGCCAGCAGCGCCGCCGGGGGAAAGTACTGCCTGGTCTACCAGACCCCGGTGCAAGGTAGGGGCTCCAGCCCCCTCGTGCCAGGGCCAGCCCCACCGCTGCGGGGAACGGCGCCTGCGCCCGTGCTGCCCTGGGTACAGGCGGTCGAGGTAACGGCCGTCTCGGCCACAGCGGTTGGTGTCACAAGACAGACAGGAACTTGAGGAACTCTCCTTACCCAAACCCCCCTTGCAACTGCACTCAGAAATACGCACCTTTCCATTCTCGCATTAGGCAGCACAGCCTCCTTGGGCCCTGGAAAAATACAATTATTTTGCAGATGGAGAGAACAAGCCGGAGCCTGGGAAGGCACACCCTGAGCGGTGCAGCACCCTGGGCAGCTGGGAACAAGGACCTCATAATCTGGTTCTACTCCTGTTCATCAAACACAGCCCAGCCCCCCTGTTACACAAACACCAAGGCACCTCTGCAGGCTCTCATTTTGTTCTACCCATCTTCCTCTAAAATACTAATCCACATACACGCTGCAAAGCTGGAAAATAAAGCAGAGGGCAAGGCTCCCATCCAGTAAACCATTTGGGCTGCACTAGCAACTTTATCCATGCAATGATTTATACTGAGTTCAGTGAAACTTCTGACAAGCTTAAAATGAAACAAAATTAAGTGCTTTTCTGGATTGCTGCTGGGCTTTTTTTAACCCAACACCTTTCCCCCCCCCCCCCCCCCCCCCCCACTCCATCTCCCAGTTCAGAGGTAGGCTGCAGACACCAGCACATTAAAAGATCATGCAGGAAGAACCCTTGCTTTCAAGAAATTGCTAGTACTTCCCACATCTGTGTAGATCAGTAGTAGTAGAAGACAGCATCCTCTGGGCTGTGCTAGAACTTTCTAGCCGTGGCTCCATCTAAATGCTGCTTTGAAGAATTAACAGAGTAATTTCTAATTTATTTCCTGGCTTCTTGTTGAATTATCACATAGGGTCAAGATTGGTTCCTATCCTACCTTTGCTTTTATTGGCACGCTAAGAAATAAAGTTAGGATTTATGAAAGCACGTATGGAAACCCGGTGTCTAGCCCCCGTGGGAGATTAATGCAATGTGAGTTCCCTCCCCACTGCTCTGGGCCCTTCCGAGAGGAAAGGCAACACTGAGCTTTACCTGAACGCCAGCTCCTTTCAGTAGGAGGGGTTTCTCCTGCGTTATAAAACTTGCAATTTCCAGATGTAATGGCACATTCAGGGTTTCACTGAAGAGCCAACCTGCCAGGCAAATAGCTGTTAACAAACAGGCATCAAGGGGCTTTTATCACAACTTGCTGGCAAGTACAATGGTTTGCCGCAGCTCTATCAAAAAAGTGTTGCCTAACACAAAACCCACAAAAACCTCTTTTGAGGGTAATCTCTTTGGTCTCTTATGGCTGAATTAATTTTGGGAAGTAGCTGACTCACAACTGGACTCAAATTGATATCCTATATTCGTAAGAGAGAGAAGAAAGAAGCAATAAACCCTGTAATCAAGAGCTGTCAGTGGAATTATTAAAAAGCCACAATACTAACAATGAACTATCTTCTGTACTCACAGACACCCGCTGCACGGACAGAAAATTCCTAACCACCAAATCCAAAGTGTTCGTTGCTTTGTCAAGCTTTCCCGGGGCTGGGAATACATGGGCTCGCCATTTGATAGAGCATGCCACGGGATACTACACGGGAAGCTATTACTTTGATGGAGCCCTCTACAACAAAGGTACTGTATCCAGAGAGCGGGGACACACAGAGCCCTTCCGAGGCACGAAGCTTTACTCGCTCTGCCTGGAGCCAAAGGCTGTCACAGTCTGCGCCTTCCCTAAAATGTACCCGTGTGCCTGGAACGAGCGGTCTCAGGGTGCAGACAGCCGCAGGGACAGCACCAGCAGCACGCCGAGCCAGACGGGCAGCTGCTTTCACAGGCAGCAGCCAGGCTCCTGATCGGCAAAACGTGCGTGTCACCTGCACTGGGGCTGCTGTGCACACGCGCGTGCACCGCTCCCATGTGAAAGACTAGTCCAAAAGACCAGCTGACGAAAAAACCAGTCGACTAAACCCTGAGGGTAAAACTCTTCAGTAGCGCGTGAAGCACAAGGGTTGAATTTTTAAGCGTTACTAATTACCCTGGGAGGACAGCATCCTGAAGGGGTACGGTGTTCAGCAAGCACCAGGCACAGGCCCTGTGAGAAACAGCCCTTTTGCAGCGAGGCGCTGAGGAAGCCCTCCCCAGCGGAGGGACGCCCGGCCCCCGGCACACCCCCCGCCAGGGCCGGGGGCCCCAGCCAGGGACAGGGTCCTGCTTAACGCTGGCACAGAGAAGCACACGGGAGGATGGTTCCCAGCCAAATAAAGTCAATAAGCCTCGCAGGTCAGCAGCAGGCCAGGAACAAAATTCAGCCCTGGTCTCAGGTCCTGGGTGATGGGTTTAATTGACTGGTACTTTCACAACAGCTTTACAGCACTGTAGGGAATGATTTAGAGTGTGAAAAGGCACAGAGGTATAATCAAGTGAAAAAGCCAACATTCCTGTCTTGTAAAACAGGTTTTAAAGGAGAAAAAGACCACTGGAGAAGTAGAAGGACCATCTGTGTGAAAACACACGAAAGCGGCAAGACGGAGATTGAAATGTTCGACTCGGCGATCCTGTTGATAAGGAACCCCTACAAGTCGCTGATGGCGGAGTTCAACAGGAAATACGCCGGGCACCTGGGCTACGCCACCGACCGCAACTGGAAGAGCAAAGGTAAGGCGCTGCGGCGGCGTGGGGAGGGGGAGCGCAGGGGGACCCGAGGCACCACTGCGGGCAAGCTCAGTGGGGCTGGAGTCCCACCCCAGCGGAGATCAGTCCCGAAAGCACTCAGACCCGAACTCTGGGAGCGGCTGTGCTCCGGCCGTACATCCACCGCCACCGAGAGGAGGGTAGTGCAACACCAACGCTGCGGCCAGCGCACTGCTTGGCAGAGAAAACACACCCAGGTACAACGCCCCTGTGTACAGCCCATTTGCCACGCTATGCGAGGTGAAGAAGATTTGCCCCTGCAGCATGTAATAACCGTGAGAAATCTAATTTAAGATTTGGAGGATTCAATGGCGCATGACATTTCCTGAAGGAAATTTTACAGCACTGCACAGGTGCTACTGCACTGCAGATAAATAAGGATAATAGCAATAAGAGGACTTGAGATTCAGTCTTTCTTGAACACGTGAAAAGGCTTCAGAATATGCCTGTCACATTTCATGCATTTGACTGGCAAGCTGGCTGGTGTGACTACCATTTCCCCACTGAATACACTGCTGCATTCAGGCTCTGCAGCAGAGCAGAGATTCAGCTTGCGTTTCTCCTTGTGCACATTGTAGGCATTACAGCTGTGGCTTGGCAAACCACGCAGCACAGGGCTGGGGGGGGCTGAGGACACGTGTCCTCTGTCACAGCAAATTTCTTTCCTAAGTTCATGTATCACCTCTCATCAGTCACAACCAAAGACCCATTCATCAAAAAACAGGCAAAATAGCCCTCAGAAAAAAGTCTGGAGGGCAAGGCTTTCCTGTACAGCAAACTATAAAATTGTTACGTTTTAGCCACAAATGCTTTGTCCAGCCTAAAAGCACTAGCTAGGACTAATCTCGACCCTTGGAAAATTAAATTATCACAAACAGCAAAGAGAGATTGATGTGTCATTAACGCCCAAGGCAAAGGTGTGAAAATAATTCAGTGAATTTTGTCCCAGTGATCCTAGCAGATGACCTTAGACCCTTTCCATGTGCCAGGAACAGAAGAACCTTCCGTACTAATCCTATTTCCTTATCCAGTCTCCCCATAAGCAGGCTGGTAAGCACGAAGGCAGATATGTCATTCGGCAGATTTGGAAGTCAGGAATACCTTGGGACCCTGCCAAAATCAGTGTCTCGATGATACATTTACATAACAGAAAGTCAATGTAATCACTATATATTATTTGCTTACATACATATATAAAAATGAACCTAGCTCTTTCTCAGTCTACATGTGAAATGGAGGTAAAAGGGTAGGAAAACTACAGAAAGGGGAGGATCTGCTTGAAGTTACATGACAAAGCACTGCTGAAGCCACCATCCGGGCAGGACCCGCTGCCTTCCCTGCTCACGCCCCTCCAGCAGCTTTCTGTCGAACTCCTGCCTTGGGGCGCTGCATCCCCCCAGCCCCAGGCGCAGCCGCCTGCTCGTGCACACAGGGCTGGTGGGCGCGGAGCTCAGCTCCTAGGAACAAGGCAGGTACAGGTGCAAAGCTGCAGCTCTGCCCGCCCGGTCCCTCCCCTGGGGCTGCCCGGGTGGGTGGGTGGGTGGGTGGCCCTGCCAGCCCCGCTGCGAGCTGCCGAGCCTGCGTGGCCCCCGTGGCGGGGGGGGCGCAGGGTTGAGCGTCACCAGAAGCTGCGAGGCCGAGGTGCCGTGCCCGACGGGCAGCGCGCCCGCCCAGCCCCATCGGGCCGTGCCGGGCAACGCCAGCGTTGGGGCGCGCGATGCCGTTTAGGAAAGCGTTGCAATGCAGCACGGCTAACGTCGCCTCCTTGTCCCGGTCATCTAGAGTGGCCCGACTTCGTGAGCAGCTACGCTTCCTGGTGGGCCTCCCACGTCCTGGACTGGCTGAAGTACGGGAAGCGCCTGCTCGTAGTCCACTACGAGGACCTGAAGCAGAGCCTCATCCCCAAGCTGAAGGAAATGGTGGAGTTTCTGAATATGACAGTGACAGAGGACCGACTGCTCTGTGTCGAGAACAACAGGGATGGGAATTTCAAGCGGTCTGGCGCTAAGCAAAAGGATTTTGAGCCATTCACCCAGGATATGAAAGATCTTATCAACAGATACATCCTGACAGTGGATGAAGCCCTGAGGGAAAGAAACTTCACAGGGCTGCCCAGAGAGTATGTGCCAAGATGATAGCCTGGTAGCACTCTGCTGTGTTTAAAAATAATCTTTTCTTAAAAAAAAAAAAAAAAAAAAAAAAGACCAGAGCTTTATAGTTAAAGCAAAGATGCTTGTGGAGTCTGCTGAGCAGTGCAAATTCTCTCCACTCTCGGGTGTTCTTCAGGGTACTAAGTGCTCCAGAAGACAAGCAATGAAGGATGGAAAGTGGGTTATAAACCAAGGCAAAAACCTGTTATTGTCTGCCTGCACGTGCCCCTCCCTGCAAAAGTGGCTCAGAACTTCACCGCAGAGAACCCCACCTTCTCTCCAGCACAGACCTGCCCCGGGCTGCTTGGGTTTTCACAGCAGTTGTGTTGGAGATGGATGCACATAAAGGGGGAGTGGGGGGTGGGCAGAAGTCTTAACACTGATCAACAATTTTCATCTAAGCATTTAAGGAAATCAGTTGCTTTCTTTTTAGTATAGCCCACTAGCTTCTTTCTCCTGGGTTTGCTGGCCAGGTCACCTGCCACAGCGGTATCAGGGGTGCAGGGGGAAGAAAGCACCAGCGGGAGAAGGTGCCCCAGCCCTTGCGCAGAGACGCTCCAGGACCGAGCCCAGGCAGCCCCGCACGAACGGCACAGCCCGGGGCCACGCCAGTGCTGCTGGGAGGTGGGCAGCCACAGCATCCCCCCACGGCAAGATGCATGGCTGGGGACCCGTAGGAGAACACAGAAATTCAGCACGGCCAGGGGTGGAAATCCCTTGGTGTCACCAGCCTCAAACAGCCCCCAGACCTGGCCTCAGGGGCATAGGGGAGGCCTCAGCGGCGTGGGAAAGAAGGAAGGGGCTGCCACCCATGCCAGGGGCTCAGCCCGGGTTTTTGTGCCTCCATCGCTGCACCTGGAGAGTCACGGTGGGTCCGGGGAGATGCCGAGGCCAAATGTCACTGCACCCAGCGCACATGGTGCTAGAAGTGGCTAGAAACTGCACTGATGTGAGCCCGGACCACCCGGGGAGCAGGGGCAAAGGGGATGAGCCCCAGCACAGGCAGGATCCCGCCTCCATTCCCACCAAGGCTGTCCAACCTGAAAAATGTGAAGCTGCTTATTGCTGCTCTCCGGAGCCACCCCCAGCAGCAGCGTGTGGTTTGTTTCTGACTCATTTCAGTTCCCTGTGGTTCCTCTCGTCCCGCACTGGGACGCGCGTGCGGTGCGGGGGCAGCCGGCCTCGGGGTCCTGCCCCAGCGCCTCGCAGGCAGTGAGACTGCACAGCCAAAGGGGCTGCCCTGCTGCAAGATGCTTTTCTTCACGTGAAATAAAGGGTTCCTTAAAAACTTGAGTGAAAATACTAGTTTTAATAAAACAAGAAGTTTATATGAAGGGAGCTGGACTTCTGCGTGTGTATCATTGGTGCTCTAAAAAAAAAAATACAGGACATGGAGCACACTTTGGCCCGAGTCTCCCCCTGCTTACACTCCACACACAGCTCGTCTTTGTGCTCAGGACCCCGGGGCTGGCGCGGGCTCTGGTGCCCCATCCCCAACCCCCCGCTCCTCCCGCCGCAGCGAAGGTCCCGGGGGGCCGCGGGGACGGGGGCAGGGCTGTGGTCGGCTCAGCTGGTTCACCAGGCAAGTGGAAATCTCCCTTTGTTTGCCCAACTGGCACAGCTTGCGGAAAAGCAACCAAGTTAGGAAGCTGTAAGTCCCAATGCAGGCAAGTGGGAAGAACTTTTTAAAAGTACCTTCTTGAAATAGCAAAAAAGGTAATTTTGAAAACAATACACACACCGCACGTTGCCTTCAAATCAGCAAATCCCAATTTCAGTGAGCTGGAAATCCCAGTGCTTGTTCTGCCTGGGACTGCTACCTCGCTGTGCACATTAGTCCGTTTTTAATATTCTCTCCACAGGTCCCCTACTAGTCTCAAAAGCAAATAATAGTGCTAGACAGATGTAGCAAACACCACAGATAGTATATAAACACACAGGTACAGAAACACATGCATGAAGTGGATAAATTAGGATGTTGCAAAACAGGACTATCATCATCTTTTTGTGACCTAATAAAGAGCAGATTCTTCTTGAAATTATGCATTAAAACACTTCAAAGGTCCATTTGGGGACCAGCTGCTGTTGATGGATGTGGGTCATGTCCCACGCAACTTGAGCACAGCCTACACAAGGTGCACAAATATTTCACAGAAAAAAGTTGTTCTCAGCCTTACCGAATCACATGCATGAGACCAGACCAGAATTTGGGTCCACCACAAAACATTAAGATTATGAGAGGCTACTATATAGCCTTTCTAGCCTGGCGTAGCTTTATAGGATCATTTACAAAATATTTTGATCATTTCAAACCTGTAAATGGTGAGAGTAAGGACAGTTTATGAACTCTCAAGAAGGCTATTTAATTATGTGCATGTCCTATAATGAAGGCTCTAGGTGGCTAAAATTAGAACTGGCAAAAATTATGAATATTCATTAGCTCTATGCATGCCAAAAATCAGCTCATTTAAAAAGAAATCGTAGCTAACCAATTCTTAATAGATGAGGTACAGGGACTGGCTCTAGTTATATATATGATGTATAAAAAAGATATACACACACTTTATATACATTATACATATATATGTATACACACACATACGTGCATATCAGCTTGCTGTATGTTCTGCAAGGGTTCATTTAAGACTGTAGGAATAGATGAGGACTTCTTGGGCCATTGCACACAACCCCTGCTACTGCCTGGATCACCACATGCAAGTTATTCACACAAATACACCGACTTCTGTCTTAAAAGAAGTTGCAGTATTTTTACCCCTTACTCTCCTAGTAAGAAGGTTGCAGAATCTTTTTCCTCTAAGGGTTAGAAACCATCTCCAAACCAACAGCCTGAACACACCTGTAGCTCATGCTGCCCTCCCCCCCTCCCCTTTTTTTTTTTTTTTTTGCCAGCATTAAATTTTAGCTTAACTAGCCCTTCTTATTTGCCTCCAGATGCTCTCAGACACTGATCATGTGAGCTCTCTCTGGCTCCATCTTGCAAGGGCAAATGATCTGTGTTGCTTTAGCCTTGCACTCTAAGTCAGCAGCTCAAGGTTATTTGGAAGGACCAAGCTCCTTGCCACAGCTAAGTGCTGCAGCAGGTTTGCACAGCAGACACTGCTGCTGGCATGCTGCACTGCAATTTTGCACAGCTATTATACCCATTTATGGAATATGAAAACAGGCATTTCTGACAAAACCAGCATGCAAGTTTCAATTCTGTCACTGCTAGTGCCCACACCCTGGTCAGATGCACGAAGGAAGGGGGAGCCGCCGTGTGCAGCTGGTGCTGTGCAGGTCAGAGAGGAAAGCTTTGGCCTGCTTTCCTCTCCTGGAAGGCCACCTCCCTCTGACCCCAGGGGACTTCTGGCAGATGAAGACCCACAGTACTTGACTTAAGTAGCTGTATTTGTCCCATTTTCCCTAGAACTCGGTTTAGAGATTGCTTATCCTTCCCACTCTCCATGAAGGTATCTCAAAATAGAGAATGTCCCAAAGTAGCAGACGGTTTTAGACCCTCATAGGTTGCAAGCTGCCCAGGTAAGCATCTCCATGTATGTGGGCAGGTGGAGCCATGGCCAGAGTCCAAAACCTGCCACCAGGATCAAGAGGACAGGAGCCTCTGGAGAGCAGATTGTTACATCCAGTACAGATTTTGGACCAGACTTTACTGGGACTCCTCTGCTTCATGCTAGGCCAGGGAGTGACACAATAGTTCTACTAAAATCAGCCAAATTAAGCTGCATTTGGGACTGTCATGCAGTAGAAGTCTATTGATGAATGTTAGGTTTTATTGAATTATTTCTCCCCCTGCATCCATTTTAATGAAACATAGGAGCAGGTGAAGAGAACTACTGAAAAAAAAATCCAAGCAATTTCCCTGCAAGGTAGGTTTTCCTACACTTAACAAGTTCTATACTTATCACACTGAGCTTTAATTAACCAGGATGGTTTAGTCAAAAAAAAAGCTATCATGCCATTAAAAGCCATGTTGATGTTCACTCCACATACATTTTCCTTCTTATTTTGTATTCAACAGTATCGTATTAGAATTAGAAACATGCATGTAATTCCCACAAGCTTTCAGTTTTCTTCAGGGAGTTAAGGCTATGACGAGTCACAAGTAGGCAACTAGAACAAAACAGAGATGCTACATTTGAAAGAAGAGTTCAACACTTGATTTTTTTCAAAGTGAACAACTGTCACAAGAAACAAGTCGGGATCAAGATTCTCCATTAAATTGCAGCTACATTTTGTCCTGCTGCACATCTGGATTCAGGTTACCACAATCTCTCTCCTATTTGATCCCAACTGCTCTCCGTTGTCTTGAGCTCAAAGCCAACCTCCAGCCACACCACCAAATTCAAGCAGCTTTTCTCTTATATTAGTTGCTTGTGCTTTGCATTTCTCCTCTTGTTCCAGAATAGCCACTGCCAGGACCTACAGGATGAAGCATTTGCAGACACCCTTCTCACCACTCTGCAGCCTATGCAAGGTCCACTGTATCAATGAGCAACGTTCCCTGGGTGCTCCCCTAACAAAAAGCCTGGTCTCTCAAGCTAAGATGCCCAAGGATGCCAGGCAGTATTGATGCAGGTGGACACATTACCTACAGACCAGGCCAGATACAAAACCACTGTATGCACGTAAACTTACTGTAGACACACACTGCAGTGGCACAAAACCAAGTTTGCCAGACTTGGCTTGAAAACAGGAACAGTGAGCCACCCCCCCTCCCTGTCAAAGCTGAGGTCCTGGAAAACTCTTACATGTAGGTGGGAGACAACTCTCTATAGAGAAAGACTGGGTCAGTGTCTCAGTTAGAGATCTACTTACTCCTCAAGTGCACGTACATGCTTCTGTAGATGGAGAGATGAGAGGGGAAAAAAAAAAAAAAAAAAAAAAAGAAAAAAAGGGAGGGAAACCTTACTAGGACCAGAGGACATAATAGGAGAGAAAATGGGTTTGCTTCCTGAAAAGCAACTGCAAAATAAAGCCTTTATAGCAATACTAAAAAAGCATGAACGTCATCACTAGCCTTCATATTCAATTCAGCCATTCAGCACTGCCTTATTAATTTTCCATTAAACTCATTTCTACTAAAACCTATTATTCACTGCTAAGATCAAGCTACTACTCTACTACAGCAACATTAACCTCCATAAAATAATTAAAGGATGGATTATCAGCATGAGACCTTACGTGTCACCTCTCTGGAACCTAATGTGTCTTTCAATGGCCTGGAATATAATGAGATGTTCAAATATAGAAAGTTGAGTTACTGCTTTTCTCAGTTGACATTTATTCAGCCAGAAAGATCCAACTTCTCAACTGCATTACTTATAATTTACTTTTGACCCTGGGTAGTTGAGAGTAATCTTTAAGGAAGCTATCCCTTTGAATCTCCTTTTTATATTAGCATTTAATTACTCTAACAAATTTCCAGATGTACAAATTATAATGGACTGTAAATCAGCTCTTGCCCTTTGAACCACAATATCCCATAGGAAGGCATTTTTTCTTCGTACTCCAACTAGCAAACATATCTATCAGCATTTGTTCTTGTTCTTTTCAGCATCTGTTTATCTTCAATTAATGGTTCTCGGGTCAGAAGTTTTTCCTGTTGCAGTACTCAGCCTAACACCCGAACACCATGGTCCAGTTTCAATCTGCAGGCCTCTCAACTGGCCTCATAATGCTACTTTTCTTACAAGTACAGCAACTCACATGTGTGTCCAAGAAAATGCATGAAACATCAGAAAATATTTAATCTCTACACACAGTGCATGGCCATCGTCAATGGACGGGTATTTCTGACCGGGCTATCTGTAAGAGCAGCAAAGAGAAGAATGGCTGCTCTTAGTCACACGAAACTGTCAAGCACTCCCATAAATTAAAAGATACAATTAAAGTGCATTATTAAAATGAAATGTTTTATGCAATAGTTAAGATGGCGTGATAGGCTCAAAGATTTTTAAATTGCATCAATTCTAATTAATGCTATCTCATCTCACCAAGCTGGTCCCCCCCCTCCCTTTACTGCAGAGCTGTGTCTTTCCCCCAGTTTTGGAGCCTGCCCGGGGGAGGTGCTCTGCAGCCACCAGTTTGGCTCCTGCCTCCTGCCCAACCTGGGGACACCAGGCAGGATTTTTCTGAGGCTCGAGGCTCACCAAAGCCTTGGCTAGAGCTCCTTCAGGTCCTGCCCGGGGGCAGCGAGGAACAGCTGGCTGCCCACCTGGTTAACGCTGCTGCCTTTCAGCAGTGCCAAACGCAAAGCACTGAGGTTTGCAGACAGGAGATGCTATGTAATTGCAAGCTTTTACAATTATTGAAAAGGA